TTTCAGTTAAATGGACATATTTTTCATTCAAATTTTAGTTTACTTGAAAATGCATCTGAACTGGGTTTGTTTGAATGCTTTGGTGGCTTGTCTGTTTTGTTTCTAAGAAAATGATGGAAAATTTTGATGATAATTAAAACCGCGTAATTGGGATTTTGTTGTAGATATGTTCAATTAAATAATGATAATTAATTTTATTAACATTAATCCATAACTTAACTATTAAAAAACAAATTAAAATAGAAAATTAACAGTATTGGTTTGATTGTAACTTAAGGGCATTTCTGTTATATCTAGTCCAACATAATCCCATCATCATCCAAACATATCATTAAATTATAATATATTTAATAATATCTAATTCAGATGCATCTTATCTTATAAATTTTATCTAATCTAATCTTATATAGTTAATTCTCACCTTTTTCAGAAGAAAAAAACTTTGTTTGAAGCTCTCTCAATCAACTATTGAGCAAACCATGGGTAACTGTCTCTCAATCTCAATCTCGGTAGATCAAGCTGGTTGTCGATGCTGGAACTGTGTTGCTGGACAAGCACGATACATTTGGAAGCTTGAACAAAATCTTCAAGCATTGGAGGCTGAGGCAAAAAGATTGACAGAGCAAAGAGATGATGTGAATAGGAGGGTTCTTCTTGCAAAGGAGCAGCTCATGGAGCCCCTTAATAAGGTAGAAGGATGGCTTGAAAGAGTGGAGAAAGAGATAAAAGAAGTTGAGCAGATAATAGAAGATGCTCCTGCACAAATTAATAATTTGTGCCTTGGAGGTTACTTTTCCAAGAGCTGCTGTTCAAGCTACAAGTTTGGGAAAAAAGTAGTACTAAAGACTAGAGATGTGGCTAATCTAAGAACCGAAGGAGATTTTCTTGACGTTGCTGAGAGGTGCCCAGCTGCTTCAGTGGTTGTGAGACCCAGTGAGCCTACGGTGGGTTTGGAGTCAACATTTGACAAGGTTTGGGCATGCCTTACTGATGAAGGCAGCAACATGATTGGCTTCTATGGCATGGGCGGAGTCGGGAAGACAACTCTCTTAAATCATATCAACAATGAGCTGGGACGGAGAAGAAATAATTTTGATATTGTGATTTGGGCAACTGTGTCTAAAAATCACACTATTGAGAAAGTTCAAGATGAGATTGGAAGAAAGATTGGTTATAGTGAACAAAAACCTTGTCATGAAAAAGCTATTGACATCTTTGCAAGGTTGAGTACAATGAAATTTGTGTTGCTTTTGGATGACATATGGGAACGAGTTGATTTAGGTAAAGTTCGGATACCTATTCCAAGACAGGGACATGGTTCCAAGCTTATCTTTACCACTCGTTCTCTTGATGTATGTGGTCAAATGGAAGCTCATAAGAAGTTTATGGTAGACTGTTTAGCGCCAGAGAAAGCCTGGGAATTGTTTCAAGTAAAAGTTGGAGAAGAAACCCTTGATAGCCACCCGCAAATCCGTGGACTAGCAAAGGAAGTGGCAGAAGAGTGCAAGGGTCTGCCTCTTGTCCTCATCATCATAGGTCGGACTATGTCATCCAAGGAGACACCTGAACAATGGGAATATGCAAAACGGATTCTAATGAGGTCAGTTGCTTATCAAGTACTTCCAGGTATGAGGAACGAGGTGTATCCTCTTTTGAAATTCAGTTATGACAGTTTGCCTGATGACAAGCTTAAATCATGCTTCTTGTATTGCGCCTTGTTTCCTGAAGATTTTCTGATAAGCAAATGGGAGCTCATAGACTATTGGATTGCAGTAGGATTTCTAGATGAAAATGACAGTATTTGTGATCGGAATGAAGGCCATGACATTATTTGTACTCTTCTTGGCTTATGTTTATTAGAAAAAGTTGATGATGAAGAGGTGAAGATGCATGATGTGATTCGTGACATGGCTTTGTGGATAGCAAGTGAAATTGAAGGGGAAAAATATATAGTGGAAACTAGTGCCCAATTAACTAAAGCACCAGAGATTGAAAATTGGGGGATGATAAAAAGATTATCATTGATGAACAATGGGATTCGGAGTCTAAGAGGAGCACCTGATTGTCCTGGTCTCGAAACCTTATTTCGTGAAAGTAATTATTTGCAATCAATGAGGATAGGCGAGGACTTTTTCCAAAATATGGTCAGTCTTAACAGTTTTGAACTTGTCACACAATCTGAAATTAACAGAATTGCCAGTGGGAATTTCAAATTTAGTTTCTTTGCAGTGTCTCAATATCAGTAGTACTGGTATAAAAGAGTTGCCAGTGGAGTTTAGTAGCTTATCAAAGTTGAAATGTTTGAACTTGGAGAGAACATCTCATCTTGAGACGGTCCCTGAAAAACTAATTTATGCTTTTTCAAGGCTGCAGGTGTTGCGGATGGGGTGGACTGATCGATTGGCCAGTAGAGCGATAAATGGGAATATCAGCTTCGGCAGGCTTGAGTGCTTGGAGTGCTTGAAATATTTGAATGCCTTAACAATAACTATGTGTAATGACTCTGTTCTTGAAGGTTTCTTAAGCTCTCACCGCTTACAGGGTTGTACAGAAGGATTTTGCATTTATCGACCGAGGGACTCTTTGTCTTCTCTGAAAACTTTATGTTTGTCACGCATTAAGCGACTTAAATATCTGTTATTGCAATCCGCCAGAAGTATGGAAGAAGTGAAGATCGAGTGAGAAGAGGAAGGAAGAGCGATACAGACACCGTATGACTTTCAAACCTCTCTGATTGCAAGCAAAAGAAACTTCTACAACTTGCGGCTGGTCAGCATAGTGGACTGCCCAAATTTAAAGGACATTACAGGGATCATTTGGGCCCCAAATCTGAGAGATCTCTTTGTTTGTGGCTGCCGTAGAATGGAAGAAATAATTAGTGAGGGTGGAGTTACTGCGATGACCGGAGATCTTATCTTGTTTGTGAAACTCCAAAATCTGGATTTATTTGGTCTATCAGAATTGAAGAGTATCCACAGGTTTGCACTTTCCTTCCCTAGTTTGGTTGCAATTAGAGTAGGTTATTGTCCAAAGCTGAGGAAAATTCCACTTAGCTCCAACAGCACAGAGGGGCGTAGAGTCATCATTAGAGGAGAGCAGCAGTGGTGGAATGAGCTAGAATGGGAGGATGAATCCGCACGGGACCATTTTCTCCCGTCTTTCGAACCTTGTTAAGAACTAGAAATTGCAGAAGGATATTAAAATACTCTTTTATTTTACTTTAAGCTTTTCCCTTTTTTCTTAAAATTTAAAATCCTTATGTAATGTTTGAGAATGACGTGATATATAATAACGAGATTATGTATTTTCTATATTTCAGTAGGCAATTCATGATGAGTTGTGTAGTGAAATAATTTTAGAAAAAAAGTATAAATGAGAATATTAATTTTATATTTTTTAATTTAAAAATATTAATTTTTTTAATTTTTAAATAAAAATATTAATTTTTTAATTTTTTTATTTAAAAATATTTTTTAAATTTTTATTTAAAAATATTTTTAAAATATTTTTATTTAATATTTTATTTAGCCTATAAACTTGTAAAATTAACTATAATTATTCCCGGTGCTACTACGAGTTGAAAGAGTATTTTTGACTCTAAATCTTATGAAAAGGGAATTGTAAAACTAAATAAAAGATGAATAACTAAATGATAATTTAATAACTTACATTAAACACGAAACATTTGGTCTTATTTATAAAAATGTAATTTTTAAATTATTTCAAAGAATGAAATCACGTAGAGATCAATTGCATACTACTTATTTTTATGGTTTTATTTAATATCAAAATTTACTATTTGATTGCTTTTTATTTTATTGAAACAATATTTTTATTTGAATTTAAAAAATTATTTTGTTAATGTTGCTTGCACCTCTACTTTTAAATCATAGTCACCACTCGCTGTGGAGAGAAGCGACTAGTGAATAGAGGAAAATATAGTAATCGCGTCGATGACTTCGCCCATCCAATGATGAGAATCTCTATTCCCCTTGTTCATGCTTTTGTTGGTAGCACTTCATCCTTTCAGTTGTAAGGGTTTTTTATTTTTAGTATTAACTTCTTAGTATTTAAAAATTATATTAGATCTTAATAAATATAAAGTTGAGTCAAATTAGAATTCATGAGAAAATAAATTCTCTTAACATTTGTTTTTTCATTCATAAAATTTGAATTCAAAATCTTATTTATGAAGAATTAAGTTCATTTTACTCAAACTAACAAGTTATTGCTTTTGGTTGTGAAGGTTTGCTTTATCCTTTGGTGCGGTTTCATCCTCTTGCTAGTGGGGTTTGTGCTGCCCTTTGGTGTGGCTCTATGCTTCCACAAGTAGGGTTTAATACTGCCCTTAATGCAATGTTGTCCCTCTAATGGCAAGGTTTGCCTTGTTCGACTACAAGTTGTTATGGTATTAGGTGTGTGCCATGGTAATCTAATTGGCAACCCAAGAGGCAAGAAAATAGCCATGTTTTTCATATATAAGTATGTATACATGTGTGTGTGTGTTAGTTGTCTTTTTCTAATTGTTTTTATTTTTTTTTGTAGTTTTAAAAGATTTACTATTTATTTTAGCAGATATAGGATGTGTTTGAGATTATTGTAAAGTATTATAACTATAGTTATGGTTGTAGTTGTATTGAATTATACTATACTGTAATTATGGTTGAAAATTATTTTGGTGTATGGTTATTTATTTTTTAGAAGTACTATGGAACCCAAATTAACGAGTGCAAGATGAAAACTTAACAAAAAAAATACTATAATTAAACATAATAGAAACAGAAAAACCAATAATTCTTTATGTAAATAAATCAATTGAAAATAAATTATTTTTTTATTCACCAAGAAGAAGATTTGATATTAGTGCTTTTTTCCCACGAGAATAAGGATCAAAGGCATCTTTTGCTCCCTGTAAAAAAATTTGCGTGAGAATTCTCGTATCCGTTATTGAAAAAGATATTAGATGGAAAAAGGGTTCTTGTGGAGTTGCCATTTTTATTTGTGAAAGTATAGTTAGAAAATTTTAAAACAAAATTTTTAGTTTTATGTACAAAATTATTATAATATATAGATTTATTATGATTTTTTATAATTTAAAAAAAATAATTCAAAAAAATTATTAATACACATATATTTAAAAATATTATATAATTACAAAAAAAATCCACAACTGTGATTCTAAATGCACCCATAATTATAAACTATTAAAATAACTCTTTATAATACCCTTATCTTTTTTATTAATACAAGATCAATAATTATTTTTTCAAAAAAATAATTTTTTATTTTATAATTTATATAGCATTAAATTATAAAATAAACCATTAAATAAAAAAATTTAATATTAAAAAATTTAATATTAAAAAATTTATATTTTATCTAATAATAAATATTATGAAATTTCAACTGCATAATATTTTTTAAGAAAAAACAACTTATATGGCAAGTCCTAGTTCCGAACCTCACTAACCGTACAAACAGCAGCACAACAGCAAGCAAGGAATCCGAGTCCGAGTCACGTATCTCAAACTCGCACGTGCCAACTCGGAATGAGATGAGACGAGTAAACCCCAAGGCCCAACCCCATATTCCGCCCATTTTCCACTCATTTTCCATCAGTCTGATCTCGCTTTGTTAGCAGGGAGTGATCTGAAATCGGAACACAAGCTCTCCCGCAGATATTCTATCTCACCATGTGGAGAAGAGCAGTGTCTTCACACCTAAAAACCGTAGCCGCCGCCGCCGCCGCGGCCTGCCCATCCGCCTCTCGCACGTCGCCACTCAGATTCAAATCCTACATTTATCCTTCCGTCTCCGCTTGCATACTCAGTCGCTATTTCGCCTCTGAATCAGGTATCCAGAACCCTAATTGCCTGCTCAGATCCTTTGTGATTAGTCTGTTATTCTGTATTTGTAATGTATTACTGGTGATTATATGGATTGATCACTTTTTTATTTTTTTTATGCGATTGACTTTTTTGTTTTTGAATTATGTGGATTTCGTTGGTTCTGTAGCGGACACTTCTGTGAAGATGAGTGTTGAGGACATAAATCCTATTGCCACCGGACACGAGCGCGAGGAGCTTGAGGCTGAACTCCAGGTTTTTTTTTTTGTTTTTTGCATTGTTTAGTTACTTAGAAAAAATGAAATAGATTCATACTTGTTTTTCGCATTTCAGAGATAAAATTGATTTGATTACTCTGTAGGTTTATGATTACGTTATGTTCTTTTGTTGATTGAGAGGTGGCCAAAATTTTGACTGATTCTAATTGTTTTGCTTAGGGGAGGAAAATTCTTGAAGATGTAAACAATCCTGTTGGTCCTTTTGGCACAAAGGTTTGTTCATTTCATAATCAAACATTTGTAAAGTTTGGTCAACTAAGTTCTTATATTTAAATTGGTGGATTGATTCTATTGTTTTAATTCTAATTTCTTTGATGGATGCTCCTGTTTGGTTTGGCAGTAGCATTAACATGTGCATTATATATTGACTCATTTGTGGATTTGAGTACTGAATATACAAAACTCATTTTGCATAAATTTGATTCATTCTTTCAATTGATATGCTAATTCTAAAGATATGTTAATTTTCATCTGGCAATGGTATATGCGTTATCTTTTCATTTTCATTTCAGGACTTTAGAAAATAACATTCAGAAGTAATATTAACTTAAATTTATCATTATTCCCCAGTTGTTAAGTTTGTGTTGTCTTAATCCATGAAATAGAATATCTGTTCTGAGTGTTCCCCTTTCTTCTCTTCCTTACCCTCCTATAGATACATTTGAGAAGTCATCACTGAAGAATGTGAGTAGCCAGAAGTGGGCACCTTCAGTTAACATTGTTGTATAAGTTCAGATTTTTGGTTTCTTTACCCTTAAAAAATATCACCTTGGTTGTGCCTAATAAGTTTATTTTAAGCGTCAGCAGTTAATATGGTGTGCTTTTAATCTCTTTGTTTTATCATAGTTTTGTCACTTCTTGAAACAAGTTATCATACATACGAACAAAAGCATATGGACAAATATAAATGTACTTACGAGTAAGTATCAATATACATTAAATATTAAGGTAAATATATTATTTGTTACTTCTTAGTTCTTAATAGTCAACAATTATCTTGCACCAAAAAAAAATTAGTCAACAATTATCGCTAAAAACATCAATATCCAAGTAATTTGAGATTGCATCATGGCATATTTAGCATATTCAGTAGATTGAACCATATCAAAAACTCCCTAGGGTGTCGCCTAGCAGTTTTGAGCACTAGAGTTCCGGAGGAGAGATCTTAAGTTTGAACCTTGGGATGGGTGAGTAGGGATTTGATCCTTTTGGAAAGGGGAGTGTTGTTCCTTGTATAGCCCAAATTCAGACACACTTTAGAAAAGAATTCTATTAGAAGCCTTAGTTGCTCATATTGGCCAGCGTGGCTAGTTGTTATTTGTGTCTTTCAGTTTTACGGTATTTGGATAATAATGGTAACTAGGCCTTTGGCCCGACTTGCAAACCAAACCATTCATAAGTATCGGATAAGTGTGACTTATTATAATTGTTTTCACTTAAATGATGTTGGGAGGATTCAAACCAATGATGTTAATACTGTACCGTACCGGCCGGTATGGCCGGTACGTACCGGTTTTGGCATTTGACCGAAACGGTACAATGTCAATTTTCATTTCGGTTAAATTCCGGGCGTTTCGGTCAAAATCCGGTGTACCGGCCGGAATTTCGGTGTACCGGCCGGTACACCAAAATTCCGGCCGGTACACACTGCAAATTAAAAAAAAAAAGGATTCCCCTAGCCCAAAACGACGTCGTTTTGGGCTAAGGGCTTTTCATAACCTGCAACTGTGTCCGTAATCCGTATAACTCAATTCAAATTTAAAAGGGTAAATTTCATTTTTGATCCTCAACTTTAATGTTATTATAATTTTTATCCTTTAACTTTTTTATGT